TGCGATTCATGAGTTAGAATGACACGAAAGACATCCCAAGTGACATATAATCAATCGATGTTCAAGTAAGACTATGCATGTAGATATCCTCTATGACACGAAAGACATCCCAAGTAACATGTAATCAATCGATGTTCAAGTAAGACCATGCATGTAGATATCGTCAACGACCCATGAAAAGTGAACTGACATCAGACTAATGATATTATGGGTAAGTATATACTTATTATAGGGATTAGTTGAAATAACTCTTCCTCTAGCATATTCATCAACAACTAAAAGGAAAAAAAATAGACAGAAAAGACCCTTCTGGGGAACATTGTAATAGTCATGCATCATTCTTGCTTGAGATCAAGCACTGATCGCTCACAATTTCAGTCTGCCTCTCTGAATCTTTTATTGGTATAGCAGCAATACAATCATGCGAAATATGGGTTCTGGTCATCCAAAGGAAACGGTTTTCACCTAAGTCTCCATTGCTGGAACCATCACCGGCGTCTATTGCCGACCTTCCTATTGTCAATGCCATCTTCCTTTCTTAGTACGCTAGTTGTTTCATCGTCCAATTTGGGAGATGGGAGATTGTGAAAGAGAAAGAGACAGGAGAGAACAATCGAGGTGGACGTTTTTCCCCTTCTTCCTCCTTCCCGATCATCTCCTTCCCGTTAGAGAAAGGGAAAGATCCAGATGAAATAAAATTTGTGACTTTGATTATGGAAGAGAGGAAACACATATGGAATTAAGGAAGGAAAAAAAATGAAATTAAAAAAGTCCCACTGATTTGACCCATAATTAAAAGAGGGCATAAATTATTTTATTTGAAAGGCGGACAGTCACAAAAAAGTTAATCCTTTTTTCAAAATTTTAATGTCCCCATTGATTTTGTATCCATGCAACCTACCTGATCTTCTCCTTCCCGTTAGAGAAAGGGAAAGATCCAGATGGATGAAACAGATGGAAGAAAATTTGTGACTTTGATTATGGAAGAGAGGAAGCGTATAAGGAATTAAGGAAGGAAAAAAATGAAATTAAAAAAGTCCTGTTGATTTGACCCATAATTAAAAGAGGGCATAAAATATGAAGGTTTTCACTTCTCAAACTAAAAGATGACATAAATTCTTTTATTTGAAAGGCGGACAATCACAAAAAATTAGTCCCTTTTTCAAAATTTTAATGTCCCCATTGATTTGCCTCTAGTCTCTAGAGTTAGTATCCATGCAACTTCTCTACAATTAAAAGAGAGCATAAAAATTGAAGGGAGAAACCAGCAAACCATGGCAAGCAAGAAATGGCAGAAACAATCCCCATTGATGATAAATTAATTTTTTAGGGTTAATATTTTTGTATGGCCTGAACTTTGACCAAAATAAACATCCTGGCCAATCTTTTTGATCTATAACATCCTGGCCCGAACTATACATCAAAATAAACAATTTGGCCAGATTCGACTTTTGACCGTTAACTTGGACGGTCAAACGCATTGACTAACGGTCAACGCGCCATGTCATCACCCAATCAACTTAAATAAACTAAAAAAATTCACATATTTCTCAAATTTTGAATTTTAACTATTAAAACCTAGAAAAATTATTAAAAAAAAAGCAAAAAAAAAAAAAAATTGTCGGCTTCCCTTCATTAACCCTATCATCAACTTATCCCTAACCCCAACCACACAAAAAAACCCAGGAGCCCCTCCCTTCTGACAACAATCTTCCTCCTCCGTCTGACGAAAATGCATCGGCGGGCATTCTTCTAAACTCGTCGCCGCCATCGTAATCCTCCCGTCTCCCTACACCATCCGGTTCGCCTCTACTCTCGAGTAAAATCTCAGGCTTCGTGAGGTCTTCGCTACCACCGCTGCACTTCCGCAATTTGACTGGTGGCGGCGGCGCTCCGACTCGAATCATGTTGAGATTCTTCCTGATGATGTTGTACTTAGGTTTCGGGGCTGGAAGGAAGAATCAGGCGGCGGCGCGGGACAAGACTAGTCGAGCGATTCGAAATTAAGGGAGGTTCTTCTGATTTTGGAAAAGGAAGCCGATTTGGAGAAATAGTCGGTGGGGAGAGTTCGATGGAATGGGAGGAGGAGGAGGAGGATGAGAAGGTCGGTTTTGATAGCAGATCTGAAATGGCAAGTTCGAGAGAGGAGCTGAATAGATCGTCGGAGCATCGCCATTGTTTTACCGTTCGAGAGGCGGTTGTTCTGGGGGTTTATAGCGAGAAGCGGCGGAGGAGGAGGTTGGGATTTTGTTTCTGGTTTTGCCAAACAAGATCGTGGAGCTGAAGCGGTTCCGTCGATTTCGGGGGTGGAAGCTGAAAAGATGGCGAAGAGGGTTCCGCAGAATCCCGCGGCGGCGGGTTAACAGCTCGGAACATGGCGGTGGGGGAAGGGATTAGATTTTGACTTAGGATTTCATTCTTATTTTAATTTTATTGGGTTAAAGAATGGGTGGTTAGCGGAAGGGAGGGAATCCAATTTGTTTTTTTTTTGTTTTTTTCCGATTTTTTAAATAATTTTTCTAGGTTTTAATAGTTAAAATTCAAAATTTGAGAAATATGTGAATTTTTTAAGTTAATTTAAGTTGATTGGGTGATGACATGGCGCGTTGACTGTTAGTCAACGCGTTTGACCGCGTTTGACCGTCCAAGTTAACGGTCAAAAGTCGGATCTGGCCAAATTATTTATTTTGATGGATAGTTCGGGCCAGGATGTTATAGATCAAAAAGATTGGCCAGGATGTTTATTTTGGTCAAAGTTTAGGCCATACAAAAATATTAACCCAAAGTTTTAATACCCTATTGATTTGACCCTAATAAACAGTAACCTTAAACTTCTCTTTTAAGTATATAATAATAATAATGTAATAATGTGAATTCATACCGTCTTCTTTGTCTAACTATATGTACTAGCTATTTAGCCCGCGTTCTACAAAACGACGTAGCTATTTTTTTTTTCAAGAAATGTCAAGAGAGAAAAAACTATACAATCTACCCCAAAACCCTCCCAAACCAATACATCAGTAAAGCCACCCTACAAAGTCGAAGGAACCGATCTCAAGAGGAGAAAGTAACAGGGCTTTTTGCACCATTCTATGGGCAGCCCTGTTAGCAGTTTTAGGAACTGCGCTAAACTCTAAGGAAACATAAACTAAAGACAGGAGCTGGAAGCAATCACGTAGCACCGGACCTCCGAGGGAATCTGATGAAACGACGTAGCTATTTGGTGTTTGGTTTGTGTGCTCTTTAGATTCTATTTAGATTTAATTTTTTTAGAGTTCCAAATTACTTCGTTGTTTATGGTTATTTACTAATATGTCAAGGTTTTCAAAATATTTGACTCGTGGATACACGATTTAAAAAGAACAAAACAATTCTAGAGGCATACTCATGTACAAAGTTTCCCTCCTCTCAAATAATAACTGCTTTGATTTGGATTCAAAGCAGATAATATCTTGATCTGAAAAAGATTCGAGATGTTACATAAACATTGTACAAACTGTAAATACCAAAATGACAAAAGCAAAAAAAACGTCTCCTAAAAACACTACGTATGTACGGTGAATTAAAAAGGTTCAAAATGACCGAAGTTCCCCACCGAACTTTACTTTCATAGCTTTCATTTTTGGGTTAATACCTTATTTTGGCCCGAACTATGACCATATAATTAACTTTGGCCCGTGGTTTCAGAAATTAACATCATGGCCTCAACTATGCAACATATAGACTCAATTGGCCCGACACATAGTTTGACCGTCAATTTGGACGGTCAACTCCGTTGACCGTTAGTCAACATGCCATGTCATTGCCTAGTCAGCCTAAAAATTATTAAAAAAAATTAAATTCAAATTATTTTCCTAATTTCTATTATTTATCATTTTACAATTAACCAAAAAATAAAATTCTAAAAATATAAAATAATTTTTTTGTGATATTTGAAATTTTATAAATTAACCAAAAATTATCAAATTAAATTTTATAAATTAACCAAAAATTATCAAATTAAATTTTATAAATTTAAAATTTATGATATAAATTATATTTTGGTGGGAAGTTTTAAAAATATAAAATAATTTGATAATTTTTGGTTAATTTATTAAATTTGTCATTTTTCAAATTATCCAAAAAATAAAAAATCAAATTTATTTTATGTTTTTTATAATTTATTTTTGGTTAATTTATTAATAAATAAGAAAAATTAGAAAAATAATTTGAAATTTGCATTTTTTTAATGATTTTTAGGCTGATTAGGCAATGACATGACGTGTTGACTAACGGTCAACGGAGTTGACCGTCCAAATTGACGGTAAAACTATGTGTCGGGCCAATTGAGTCTATATGCTGCATAGTTGAGGCCAGGATGTTAATTTCTGAAACCACGAGCCAAAGTTGATTATATGGTCATAGTTCGGGCCAAAATAAGGTATTAACCCTTCATTTTTTGAATGGTGAAAAGTAGAATCTTAAAAATGTACTATGGATCGTTTGGATGGAACAATTGGGACATGAAGCAATTTGATCCAATTGTCTCATTTTAAAAGATGAGTATATATGTGAGGGATTTGTCTGAAATTATCTTATTTGGTTAGTATTTGGGACGAGAACATGAAAATGAGACATTTTGTCCAAATTACACTTTTACTCTCCTTTCTCTCTATCTCTCGGTAAACCATCAGCATAAAAAAAAAAAAATCTCAGATCATTAACGTCTTCATTACCATCGTCATGCATAGTAAGATCATCCATCCTTCCACTAACCACTACTAATTAGGACTCAATCAACACAAACAATTTGAATTGCCCCGAAATAAACCAAATACAATTTCCCCAAATCCAATTGCTTCATCCACCTTCTTTATGGCTAAATTGTTTTTTTATAGCGAAATGAGACAATATGATCCAATTTACTTGCGTGGATTGCTAATTTACTTGGGCCGGTCCAAATTTTAGCTTCCATTAAGTTGGCCGCGGGATTCCTTTACCGATCGATTTTCCTAATTTCCTTCCTCCCTCCCACCCCTTCCACTCGCAGCATTTTTCTTCTCGTTCCCAGCCTTTGATCTGCCGCCGTCGTCCGCCGTCCATCGATCCATGGCTAATCAGAAGAAACCCGAATGGCCGAAGCTCCGGTACGGGGATGGCGAGTGCAAACGCTGCCGGGAACTCGATAAGCTGAAGCTGAAACCCAAGCCCGATGACCTCGATTATATATGCCAGGATGACGATTTCAAGGGCGACGAAGAACTGATGCTAAGGGTCATCCATTACAGGAGGAAGCGTGACGTGACCGGTGTAAGTATCTCAACTCATCATAAAAAAACTGATCATAATTAATCAACCCCGACTTTCACCATGTTAGGGTTTTCTGAATTCTGACTCTTTGTGAACGAATGCGCAGTGTTTCGATGTTGATTGCCCTCCATCGTCAGATTGGGGCCGACTTTACCCCCGAGAACATTATTCCAGGTGTGTTCGGGACTATGACAAGAGGCTTAATTAAGACGTGTGTAAAATTCGTGATCGTCTGATCGACACATACAATCAACAGAAGGTAATTAAGTGGTGGTACTTCGTGGGCACGTACACTAGCTAGCTACCATACATGCGTGTTAATTAATTAAATTGAATAATGTTTTGCAGGGTCAGGACTTGATCCTACTCGGCATCTTCAACGTATGCATCCAGCGTGTTTGTCGCTATTATATATTCTATGTAACTTTCGAAGGCTTCAATGAGTCCGATGAGAGCAGTGCGAGGAAGAGTTATGTCGAGCCTTACCAAACAGTGGGGTCTTGTGCGTCTTGGAAATTTGGTAAGTATGAAATTCACATCTTCAGGAGGTGTAGTAACTCAACTGGCAAAGGTATACAGTCGATATGGTCTTTTTTCTCTTTTGGTGAATGATTTATGCAGATGGTTGGTGTCGATTTATTAACTAATTGGTTCGTAACGAAAGCATCCATCCCTCTTTTCATAGATGAGGATTTGTTACCACCTGATTCCTCTTACGAAGAAAGAACAAGGGTAAAGAAAGAGCTGATGGGGACCTTGGCTTGAAAACCAGAGGAGATGGAGCCGCTTTCCGAGCTAGCTGCTAATGAGTAATGTTTATTGTTTGTCTATGATGAGTACTCACGCTAAATAATGACTACGTGCTTGGCTTTCATACTCTCCATCATTGCAACCATTTGAACTATATAAACACAAAAAACGAAAAAACATAGCATGAATTATATAGAGATGTGCCGTTTTAAACCTCCAGGACAAGCGAAGCCTCAATTGATTGCGGCGCGATTTTAATCAGAAATCGCAGTTTTTGGTTTGAACCAACTGCAAACCGGGAAACATATAAAATGCCGTTTTTGGATACTAGTTCATACATTTTGGATATTAGTTAGTATATACTAACAACTTATGCAGTTAGCAGAATAACTAGGTTGTTACCACACCAGCATTAGAAGATGATGGTACATATCATCATCGATATTATGTTGCCACGTTTCCTAGTACTACTATCTCGATTTGCTGCGGGATTTTATTTTTCTTGCACTACAAAAAAAAAGGACCTATGGCAAGAGTTATTTTCACCTGTAGTAAGGGTTTTAACCCTCGCTACAGAATGCAACAAGGGTTCATGCAACCCTTGGACGGACCCTTGTCAAAACTGCCCTTGCTGCGTATAGCAAGGGTTTTAGCCAACCCTTGGTGCATGTCCCCTCCAACGGTTATAGCAAGAGTTTAAGTCTTTTAAAAATCTAAGCAAGTGATTCTAGTACCATCGGTGAGAACCCTTAAAAATTTGTTCCTACACGTAGCAATGGTTTGACCCTTGCTACAAACCTATGTAAAATTTTGTAAATAAGTGTTAGTAACATGGATTATAACCCTTCATAAATTTGTTGCTTAAATTAGCAAGGTTCAAAACCCTTGCTATAGGGTATTATATGTATATCAGCTATGAGATGTTGCTTGCAAGGATCAAAACCCTTGCATAGTTTGTGACTAAGGCATGACAATATTTTGTGTCGAAACCAAATCGCTAAAGGTCGTTACTAAACTGAAGCAATAGGATTGGTGGCTATAGGTTGGTTGCAAATACCGTGGTGATTATATACAAATGCATAACCAAATTCGTTACTAGAATTCAAGAACATATACCTTAATCATAACATGATATGATTCTCATCCAAGATGGTGTTTTACATGGATAAGTAATAATCACCATAAACATTCAAACATAATCGAAGGAAAAATAACACGTTCATGATATCTCAAAATCCCAAAATCCTTCATATAAGCAATTCACGACATTTGATCACGAAGCTGGAGAACCCAAAGACGGAGTTTGAGCACTAGGGCACCCTGTTCATAATAGAAAAGAATAATCAACACTAATTTAAGAACACATTGGCCTAAGAAAACAAGCAAGGCAAGCTAACAATCAAGCACACCACTTTCATGTGTTGATTTGAAAAGAGTTATAAGTATAATATGGCCATCTACTATAACGTTTTATCAAACATGCCCCTCTACTATTTTTTACCTCAAATATGTCCCTGTACTTTGAAAAAAATTATCAAACATACCTTTCTGTTAAAATTTTCATTGAAAAAATCGTTAATCATGGTTGAACCGAGATTTTGACAACCCGACATCGGCAAATGAGAGAGAAAATATAAGTTTTGTCCCCTGTTTTTTTCCTTAGATCTTTTCAAAGTGAAATTATTTGATTATACAAAAGAACCAAAAAAATTCTAAAGTGAATTTATTAGGGATATTTTAGTCATTTGTGTCGCCCAAACTAAAGTTCGGCCTTGGTTAACGATTTTTGGATGAAAATTTTAACTAAAGGATCATTTTTACAAAGTAAAGGGGCATATTTGATGTAAAAAATAGTAGAGGGGCATGTTTGATAAAACGTCATAGTAGAGGGGCATATTATACCTTTAACCCATTTGAAAAAGAAAAAATAGAGTCAACAGCCAATGAAAGCAGGGTTACATCTATTGTACTTACATCAAAACTATTAAATTCTAAAAGCCAGCAAAAAGACCAGTAAATGAGGGATTTTCCTTCCAACTACAAATAATGACACCAAAATTTTCAGCAAGGTTAACAATGAGAGTTTAGTCGAGTCTATCTTAGTCGGTGAACAGAGGGGAGACTCTTTCTTTACCCGATTTTGTTCCACTTAAATGTTATATATGGTAGTAGTCGAAGTTGTTGATGTGTTGATGTCTGGTACCCAATATGATTCACATGTTTTGTGACTCTATAATACGTCCCTGAAGATTGCATGGTTAAAACGTTTTGAGCTTACCTTGTGTATGACTTGGTTTGCTTGGCGACAAGCAAACAGTTAAGTGTTTGGAAATTTGATGACTACATAATTACACATGTTTTACCCCTAATTTCTTGATTGTTTAGCTTGGTGTTTATCATACTTTGGCCTAATTTACGCTAGGTTGTGTTCCTTTGTCATATTTCAGGTCCTAGCACGTAAAGTGAAACATAGACTCAAGTTTCAAGTGAACCAGAGATCAATTGACTACTCGGGGGAAGAAACTCGAGCATGGCCTGAATTAGAATGAATTTATACCTCAGCCAACTAACCCTTCTCAGTGGCTAAGTTACGTAAGTACAAATGCGAGCAGAAGTCAACATTCATAGCCAAAGTTCTTATACCCTTTTCCTTTTAAGGAGTTTTCTGCACATACTAAGAGGGAACTCAATTTTACAACCTTTGTGTTTTGTTATTGTTCGCTATGTTTTCGTCTATGGCCAAAAGAGTAGACTATGTTTGACCCGGATTTTAGAAGTTTTATGTTTCAAAAGTTGAAACCAAGCCAAACACCTCTAGAGTTTTTCTTTTTTAAAAACTGAAGGTTTTTCGTAACTTAATTAATATATAAAGCCTAGGTTTGAGTTACTATTCATTAGTGGCTATCACACTCCTCCAAGTGCAAGTTGGGAAGTTCCAAGTCCTTCTTTTACTCCACTCTCCATTTTACAACCTTTGTGTTTTGTTATTGTTCGCTAGATTTTCGTCTATGGCCAAAAGAGTAGACTATGTTTGGCCAGAATTTTAGAAGTTTTATGTTTCAAAAGTTGAAACCAAGCCAAACACCTCTAAAGTTTCGCTTCTTAAATTAATTAATATATAAAAGCGTAGGTTTGAGTTAGTATTCATTAGTGGCTATAACACTCCTCCAAGTGCAAGTGGGGAAGTTCCAAGTCCTTATTTTACCTCACTCTCCATTTTACAACCTTTGTGTTTTGTTATTGTTATTTCAGTGCAACTCCAGAAATTGTACCACCGTCGGCTCTTACTACGGCGGTTGAAAACAGAACAGGATCAAGTGACAGGCGATATTATCGTACAAGTTTTCGTTATCCGACTGGCACGTTGGGTTCGGATCATGCAATATTTCTTGTTTTCCTTGTTTGTTGCATGTATAATGCAGTGGTACTTTAAACTGGTATCACTGTGGTAGTGGTACCAATCACAGTAGTCGTACATGTACCAGTACAACATGTGATTCTGGTACCAATAATTCTAGTTGTACATGTAAACGTACCACTGTATCTGGTACCTTGTTTGAATGATTCGTCTAGTTGGTATTGTAATGTTTAATCAATATGTCTAACAATTGTACGTTGGTTATTTTGGTACCAGGAATGGCGAGAACAAAGACTCCATGCATCGTGTCGACGGCAAAAGAACTACCGGTAGAAGGAGACCATAGAGGAAAACATCCTGTTACGTACGACTCTCGGCAGGTTGTGATCCGTGAAGGGAGTCATCTAAATCTGGTTCGGGTCCAAGTAAGAAACGACAACGGGATGGGGAAACGAAGAGTACCTGCGAGAAGACGAAGAAGAAGAAGAAACAGAATGGTGGAACAAGTGCAAGCGGGTTCGGGAAGAAGTGCAGCCCGAGTTCAGTCATTGAGATACTGGACGGTAATATTACGCGCGCGGGAGGCTATTCTGAAGAAGTTGGGTCTTGGATGTCTGCTCAATTTGAAGATGAAGCGATTTGATAACACCTTGTTGGGTAGGATGACTAGAGTTTTTGACGTGGATTCAATGTCCATAGCAATGGAGGATGGGGGGCAGCTGAATTTCACTGTGGATGATGTACAGAGGGTATATGGGCTTCCACGTGGTCCGAAGATGGTTCCTGAGATTGATCCAAACCAAGTGAATGGGCTGCGAGATTCCCTACACGTCATGGATGATGAACCAGCAAATTCCAAAAAGATTTGGAAGTTGAAGGATAAACTTGGTACGGTGGAGGATGACAAGTTGTGGATCCGGCTTTTTGTACCCACGACCATTGGTTACTTATTCACTTCCAGCACAGCGAACGCTGGTCATTCGTTGGTGTTGGAGTTTTTGAAGGATGATGACTTCTCACAGTTTGCTGAGTACGACTGGTGCTACTATTTTTGGGATTGCATGAGGTCGACCTTCATTCTTAATAAGACCAGGAGCTACACTAATGGCAATCTGCATCTGCTGT